TAAATTATTAAAAAAAATTGATACATATACACGGAAAGAACAAGATGACACTGGATACCATCTCAGATTATACTCAGTGACATCTGAGGTGAAAAAAAAAAATTTCAGATGGTAGCTAGTATAATCCAGATTACACTGAATAATATCTGGATTATACTCATTGTAATCTGGATTATACTCATTATAATCTGGATTATACTAGCTACTATCTGAATTTTTTTTTCACTCAGTATAATCTCGTTCTTTTCGTGTATAAATTAAAAAAAAAAACTGCTAATTTTTAGAATAAAAATTTTTTTTCATATTTTCAGATTATTATTATTAATATTATTATTTTGTGCCAGTGATAAAAACAAATTAAAATTTAATAAAAATTGATTAATATAATCTAATTCTATAGTAATGATAACAATAGTAAAATAATTAAATAAATGTACTATTGTATTGATAATTATTTTTATCAAATGAAATTTATATTTAATTTTTACTCTTATATAATTGAAAATGTAAAATTTTTTAGAATTTATCAAATTTTTTGAAAAAAACCGCACTTTTAACATTAAAAACGCCAATTTCAAGTATAGTTAGAGTAGTGACGTCATTTACTAGCGCCATCTGTTGGAATTTTTGTAAAACAATCTAACTATAGTAACTTGATTCTTTAAAAAAATTATTCCTAGTCTATACAGAGAATGTTTTAACCAAAAAAAAATTTTTTTTGAATAGAAAATAATTTAGCTTTATTAAAAAGAACTTAAAAATTTTCCTTTCATAATTTTCAAATTTTTTATTATTATTTATACTATTTATTATATTTATAGGATACTTTTACTCTATTATAATTAAACGCCGAATTCTTTTTTAGATTTTATGAATTTTTTTTAGACATTAATAGTAATTTTTTTGAAAAAAACCGCACTTTTAACATTTAAAACGCCAATTTCAAGTATAGTTAGAGTAGTGACGTCATTTACTGGCGCCATCTGTTAGAATTTTAGTGAATTATTGTTACTATAGTAACATGATTTTTAAATAAATCATTTTAAGTCAGTAAATAAAATATTTTAACAATAAAAAATTAAAAATAATTTAGTTTCATTAAAATGAGCTTTAAAATTTTTTAATTATTTATTTTTACTGTTATAGCAAACTTTCTGACTAAAAAAAAAAAAAAAAAAAAAAAAAACAAATTTTCTAATAAATTCTTCTTAAAAACTCTAAAAAAAGAAAAGGTAAGTTAAAAAAAAAGAATTACCAGTAAGAAAAATAGGAATGCTGACAAAGAAGCCTCCTATTGCGCACATTCTGCTTACTGATGATTTTTCCAGGTACCTGCTCGTCCTACAATTGAAATAAAATTTAAAACGACCTTACACTTGTAAAAGTGAAAATATAAAAAATGAAGAAGAAAAATACAATAGAGTTTAAAAGAATCTCAGGAAATAAAAGTATTAATATAAGCAAGGAAGTTAAATGGTAAGAATAGAAAATAGAAAGGTCGATGTACCTCGAAGGGCAGTGTAGCAAATGTACCAAGTGTAGCAATAGCATCGTGAGAAATTTTTCTAGCGGTATATATCAGTAGCTCATACTCAATATCATAACTAAGTAATACCATCTGGAATACCAAATTACACACACTTGTCTTGTTATCTCTTATCTCTCTCCTTAAATTAATAAGCAGTTAAGGTTAGTTAATATCATGTAATTAAGAGCAGGCATTATGTAACCTCTTAACAAACTCTGTTTAGTTAACTATACTTTGTATTATTTAAAAATGCTAAGTTATGCGAGGAAGAAGCACCAATTATCAATTATTAAAGTCAGTCCAATTATTGACACTATTTTATTTTAATATTTAGTTACTGAGAATGTTAATTAAAAATTGTAGATTTTTTATGCAATCTTTGGAGTGACTTTTTTAAATTCAAGAGTAAAAAATTAAATTTATTAAATTAAAAAAAAAAAGGGTAAGGTAAAAAACCCCAATTATTGACACTATAAAAGACAAAATTATGATTTCTTTTTTTTTAATCAATCAAATATCAATAAACAGATAGAAAAATTAACTGGAAAACATTAACATCTATGGAAAAATGAAAAAAAATTTTTTTTTTTTAACGTAACTACACGGAAAGAACAAGATTATACTGGATATAATCCCAGATTATACTGAGTGAAAAACAATTTCAGATAGTAGCTAGTATAATCCAGATAACAGTGAGTATAATCCAGATTACAATGATTATAATCCCGATATTATTCAGTATAATCTGGATTATACTAGCTACTATCTGAAATTTTTTTTCACCTCTGATGTCACTGAGTATAATCTGAGATGGCATCCAGTGTCATCTTGTTCTTTTCGTGTAGATAATGACAAAAAAATTTATAAACTATAACCATGGCTGAAAATTAAACTTTGATAATACCGATGGTATTTTTTGGGACAGTGCTTGATGTATAAAAATGATTTAGGTCATCAAACTTGCTCCAAGATATTGATATTGAAGAATCATAATAATTCTCAAGAACAAAATTCTTTTTGACTAACTTTTTCAACATTACACCTCTAAATGGCTTACAAAACTCTTTTATTAATTGTAAATAGATCTGAAGTAAAAAAAAAATCAATTTAGAAAAATTTTTCGGCTAATTTTATTAACTTGAAGACATACCTATACCGATTGTTCTAAAGTTGTTATGAATTTATTTTTTATAAGTTTTTTCACTTAAATAAATATTTTTTGACATAAATTAAGTTGTGGAGTGATATTTCTATTACCTTGGCAATTTTTTTTTCTTAACATAGAAACATGTTTTCTTAAAAGCATAAGGGCGTATCACAAAAAAAAATTTTTTTTTTCATTTTTTCCATAGATGTCAATGTTTTCAACATTTTTACATTGATTAGAGCAAAAAAAAAATTTTTATACGCCCTTATTTATTTATTTATTTAAATAAACAAACCCAACAGCCAAGGGGCCATTAACAGGGCTAATAATACAACAGTTAATATATAAAAAAAACAATTTTTGATTTATAACAAGATGACTTACAGCTAGCATAGTAATTTCATATTTAATAGAATATTAATTATAAATATTCTATATTATAAATATTAATATTAATTATAAATTTAATAGATAGATTGCTAAATGTGTAAATGATAAATATCAAAGTCTGAATTCTTAAGTATATTGATATTTGATTGTTTAAAAAAAAATTAAATCATAACTTTGTCACTAATAGTGTCAATAATTGGGATAGTTATCTTATAAATTAATTACTAAAAAAAAAAAAAAAATTTTTTTTTCTCAATTAGCACTTTCAATTTTGACAATATCAAATTAATTAAATTTCATATCTAAAAATTAGTGTAGTTAAAAATTATTAAATTTTTATTCTTTATAATTGTCAATAATTGGGGCCCTTTATTAAAAAAAAAAAAAAAAAAAAAATTTCTTTTAAATAATTAGTACCAAAAAAAATTCTTAATTTTACTTTCAAAAATCCCAATAAAAATTTCTATAAAAAAAAAAAAAAAAAAAAAAAAACAATTACCTGTTCTGATTATACGCCGACTTGACAAGCTTCATAGCAAACAAGAACTGAATAGCGCAAACCAGGAGACAGCACAAATTAAGCGACATAGCCAGCGCACAAAGCGCCAGAGTGACTTCATAGACAATAGTATACTCCTCCGGACTGATAACACTTGAGGGTGCCGTAGAAACTGGTGAAATCTTCAGTAGAAAAATATGCGAGAGCATCGCCAGGAGGAGAGACACCAAACAGAGCAGCCCCAAGAAGGTGAGCATTTCTTTGACTCCAGGTTCTTGATTATTATTATTTCTAGCGTTGCCTTGGCCGTTTAATTGATGACTAGGTCCCTTGAGACAAAAAGACGACCAGGAAGTGTCTTGGGTATGTAACGGGCCAGTAGTGGCCAAGCTTGGCAGAGAAACAGGTGCGTTAATAGTCGCAACAGGTGCTGGCTGCAAAGGGGACGGCGTAGCGCGACTCGCCAATCTTGATAGTCGTGAAATATCAAGCCCGCCATTTGGCACCTGCGTTTGCGTTTGGATTTGACCATTATTAGTATTATTATTATTTTTATTATTATTATTATTATTATTATTATTAGTATTATTAGCATTATTATTAATATTATTAGGATTATTGTTAGAATTATTAATATTATTAATATTTTTAGGATTATAATTAATATTATTATGATTATTATGGAAGAGTTGATGATGATGATGATGATGATGATGATTATGAGGATCTGGACTTGGACTGTCGATAGAATGCTTGGAGGCAGACAGAGCGGACAGGTTCAGTGCATTTAGATGATGCGAGTGGGTGAATCTCGCGGACAGGTTGTTGACACTGAGCTGAGAGTGGTTGAGCGGATGCCGGTGAACGGAAGCTGACTTCTGAGGATGAGACAGAGAAAGAGAAAGAGATGTCGAAGGATGGACCGAGTGCAGGGAGTCGTAGATCCCCGGGTCGCACAAGCGGTCGTTTTTAAGGGAAATCCCTCTGGAGGTCGTCGAGCTGGAGCCAAAGTGGCTAATCGTGGGGTACTCGTGGTTCTGGTTCCTGGAGCCTCCGGAGCCTCCCGGCTGCCCGGACGATATGTGTTTCAGCATCGCGGGGACTCCTCACATTTCATTGCTGATTTTTATGGTGATGCGGTGGTGATCCAGTCACTTGCTCATGGTGTATTGTATTTAAATACACCCGGGCAAGGGAATTTACTCCGCCGGAAGAGGAGTGATTTAACGCGAGGTCTTTCCCACGAACCGGATCCCAGCATGTCAATTTTTTTCACCCTGCAAACAAATTAAATGCGGGTTATTATTTTTGTTTGGTTATTTTGTGGTAATTAAGGAACTAATTAGAGTTTTTTGGGTGTTGGGTATATATACTGGTTGGATTATACTGCAGATTTTATTTTTGAAGATTTTTAAGAGAGATTTTTAGAGCCGGAGAAATTGTTAAATTATACGGGATTTTTATGTTTGACAAAAATTAAGAATTGTAAATAGAAAATTTTGAAGGTTTTTTTAAATAACTTTTTAATTGTAACAAGAGCCGGTTTATATAATTTATATTATTATTAAGAGAATAAGAAAAATTTTGGTTCGATAGTCATATAATAAAATTGGTTTTTTTGGTGAAATTTAGTGTCTTGATTTAAATTTGTGCTTTTTTAAGGTTTCATATTATTCTCAGCGACAGTCAATTTATAATGATAAGTATTTAAGCTGCATTTGGAAATATCTCTATACATAATTAAGAAATGACCTTATATCTCGTAAACTATTGACATTTTTAAAGATATAAGCTCACCCCGATGTTATATTCGTCGAGACCTTTCATTTGAGTACCCACATCAATTTTTCATATATTTATATATATTATATATATGTATATATGAAAAATATATCAAAAATGCATGTGTATACTCAAATGAAAGCTCTTGATGAGTGTAACATCAAGATGAGTTTATATCTTAAAAAATGTAAATAATTAAAAAATTACATTTTATCTTGCTAACTAATGATATTTTTAAAGATATAAACTCATTCCGATGTTACACTCATCAAGACCTTTTATTTGAGTACCCAAATCAATTTTTTATATATTTATATACATATATATATATATATATATAAATATATGAAAAA